ACAAATAATTAGATACTTGGCTAGCTCATTTACGGAACAAATATAATGAGTATAGTTTCTATATAACAATAACTATAAAACAAAGTTGACATTTTATGTGTTTTTGCTTTTGAAAACTCGCAAAGTGCCGCGTTACAAATTATAACCGTTCTGGTTAATTGTTATTTTTTTAAATTTTATTGCGAAGCCAGCGAGAAGTATATTTTATTAGACTTTTCAAATCTCACATTAGATGCCAGTGTCAAAACACACTATAACAGGGATGGCGAAATTTTTTGTACCAGAGTGTCAAATAAAAATTTGTTTAGACTTTGTTTTCCCCGAGTGTCAACTAATTTGATAACCCTTCAATTTTTTTTTTTAGAAACTTTATTACTATCGAACTTTTACACATTCGTGTGTGTCACTAAAATAGTGTGCGAGTGTCACTCTGTGACACGCGTGTCATAGGTTCGCCATCTCTGCACTATAACAGCACTAGGTTAGGTTAGGTTAGGTTAGGAACTATGTTGTTTACGTAATTACGTGTTGGTGGCCTTTAACAACAGGCTGGTGACATCTATAGGGTTCGCACCCCCTCCCCCCTTCCAGGTTCAGAATCGCCTGTCTAGAGTGCCAATTCCCAGAATTAATACGCGTTACAAGTTGTTGTTCACCTAAATTAAAGCTCTTTTCCAGTGTAGCTGACATGCAGGATAATCGTAGACCTTGTTATACCGATAGATTGGCCTTTATTTGTACACGTAGAACGACCATCGATTGACGACTCTCTGCATGTGTGACTTGTGATCATAATTATTATATTGTAGTGTATTGTTGGGTTAGGTTAGGTTAGGGTAGTTTCGACTCCATCATTATACCTAATGTATAATCAGATAACTAATATAGTGATTTCAATTTGACACATCGTAAAATAACATAATTATTTGCGTAAGTCCATCATCACTATATTCCACCCACGGGGGGAATTCTTAACCCCCCCCCACGGTTGAGAACCGCTGTACTAGAGTAACTTGCAACGACAAACACCGATGTGATTATACGGTACCTACGATATATTCTGTGATTAATCTATAAAACCTTTTTCACTGCATATTAATATTATTTTGATAATAATATACCTTCGATTCTACCACGGCTATAGATACCATATAGCCTTGGATTATACTAAACCATAATATCGTATGATATTATCAAGTGTGTTATCACTGGTACTTGTTAGTAGGCACGGTGCTGATTGATTGAAGTAGGTTTACAAATTATGCAATATTATTGATGTGTTCATGCGACTGCATTAGCCATAAGCCGCGGAGTATCATACTGAATAATAATAATATTATATTAATTTACGTCTGTATGTACATATATTGTATACGATTCAATAATATATGGCACACTATTGGCGCCGTTAAGGCGATAAAGTGTATTATAATTGCAACGTGAATTACGCAACTATAATATTATGTATAATTATAGTAATGATTATTATTATACGTCATGTACCGATCGCGATGGTAATTATGTTATATACTTTATATTAATTAGTAATTAATTATTAGTGTTCTCCAAGCGTTCGTATTTCAATGGGAATTGATATGGAGCGATTTAAACGGAGTTTCAAGATCAACGGAAAACAGTTTACAATTTGAATATTATACTCGAAAAGGACATCGAAATAACTCACTAGTGGTACGGGATGTTTTATTATTGTTGCACAAAAATTGCGACAATTTTCGATAAACGATTTGAAGCGTGAAAACTACTAAAAAGACCAGCTGGGCAACTACAACCATTGGATGGGAAACCCAACGGCTTTACCATGAAAATAAGAAAAATGTATTTTTAATTTTGCGTCGTAATTTTTTTTTTTTACCAATTGCTTACTCATCTGTTTTCGTCTTAATGACTTGATAGAAAAGAAGAATTCATTATTTATACACAATAGCAATATTAAATTCAATAATTGTACTTTTTAATACATGGTTATTGTAATAATGATTTCATGAAGTCTCAATCTAGTCATAAATGCATTCATTTATCACATCGAAACTGAATTATAATTCAAATGTTTCATTTGATATGTCTTACTATTCGTTACTATGAAAAAAAAAAAAATAAAAACAATATCAATTTTTATAACACCGCGGTATTATCGAAAAAAAATATATAAACGACATTTTATTATACTGCAAACCCACTGATCTCTGTTATTTTTTGACGTGATTATTCGTTTTCTAAACTATAAGATCTGTATGCTCATGCTGTGATCCTCGTCCACCTGGAGTGTTTTGGAATTTTGGACTCTCCATATGGACTTTATAAATTTATGTAGACGCGATGCATAGTTGTTAGAAAATGTTCAACAATTAGTTATCACATTATCAATTTTATCTTCATAATTATTATCTAAGTTTATTACCTCAGACATTGGCCGCAATCATTTTCGCGTACCACACGAGCATATTATTATTATTATTTTTTTTTTTATTGTTCTTTATTATAATTAAGTCTTTAAATATTGTTATCATTGTAAGTCACTCGTACATAACAATATTACGTTATAGTTATAATATAATATACTCGTGCAGTCGTGTTATCTTATTATCAATTATTTAATACACTGCAGGGAAACTTGACCTACTTTATGAAAGCTTATGTACTCCAATGTGCAGCATCTAGACTTTTATATTGATTTTCGTCCAAAATTAATTTCTTTGTATACTTTTACCCGCTTCGAAATAACAATATTATTTATTTAATTTATGCGTCAGGTATAGGCACATATATGTACCTTTATGTACAAACCCGTGAAATTATTTTTCTTCTTGGTATATTATGTTATAAGACTATAACATTATTGAAAGTTGGATAAAATTTCATTTTCATATTATAACATATATGCAATTCGTTCGGAGATAATATATTAGACATGCAACATAATCTGAAAACTTGAAAAAAGACCATTTCACTTTGTATATCTAATTTAAAAGTATATTATACGAAATAAATTATTTAACGTAGGTAACATTATAGCTATTGAATAATGGAAATAACGATATTGGTATTTTTTAAAAGAATTATGATTAGTATTCTATCCGTAGACAATTATGGACATTACATATATCTTTGGAATCTACATAATATGATATTGTTGAAAATGTAAATTCTTATAAAAATATATCAAGCGAATGTGTGTTGAGTGTAATTGGATAAATGGAAATAAAAATTGGTACAGCCACCACAACAACGTGATTAGGGCTTGGATTCAAATACGCTAAAAATATCAAAAAGTACATTTATGACCTAAAAACTCTAGAAAATACCATAAAAATATCGAAAAAATATATCTAAATAGCGTCCGACAATCGGCCGCACTCACTACCGATCTAATATTAACTCTCTTTTTAATACAAAATGTGTATGCAATTGAGTCGGCTAATATTAGTTGGTGTGACATAAAGATAAATTTCAGCCTTCTCTAATTTAAAGTGAAAATGATTGCGTCGTACTACGTTTGTATTATTTCAATGAAGTCAATTGTTTTAGTCACAATGTGAGAAATCGGTCAAAAACTTCTTGAAAAAAATGTGTGATTATAACATGATGTACTTGAATACATTTGTAGCTGGGAAAGTATAGTGCAAGACATTCCAAAAAAATATGCAAAATATGCATGGAAATCTGAGCTCTACTCGCGCTTGCTTAAAAATGCAATATAATATGCACATAGCATATATTATCAATTATTATGTACAATCATTGATCACTATATTTTATAATCAATGATATAATTAAAAAATACAAACTTACTGATGATCGCGATAATGATCAATCGACTGAAAACTGGAAACGCTTTTGACGTTGGCCATTTTTATATTATGTTGGGCTAGGTGATAGGTGCAATTTAACCAGCTCATTATTTATGTATAGTAATGGAATAGAGTCATCATAGTCACCGGAGGTGTGGAAATTGGTTGTTCAAATCCCCCTTACAACAAGGAAAGTATATAATATAATTAATGTATTTAATATTTTAATTGATTAATTATATAATATATAATCATTACCCCTCCCCCCCATCACCATATTAAATTCATGTAAACGGCACTGTTATTGAAAATACATAACTATAGTGAAACGCACAACCTACGGCTTTGGTGATTTATACTATAATAATAAGCACTTAGTAGATCGTGTCTAACACTAAAAATTTACATTTAGAAATAAATTCTGGAAAGTTTGACGAAAATAATAATAATATACGACGTCAAACACAAATCGGTATATATATATCAAAGCGGAAGGTACGAGTAAGCCCCATCGCCCTCCATTGATAATAATAATAACAATAATAATAATAGTAATAATAATAAAAAATACCCCGTCGAGGTAGTGGTAATGGGCTTTTTCGCGAAAATAACAGAGTATTANTCATAACAAGATAGATAATTTGTAATATGATGTGTAAAAGTAACAGTTATTGGAGGGTGATATATATCAATAGGCATAATTGGATTAATACATAAATCGACATCAGTAGTGGTAGAATTTGTTAAGACGTAATCCAGGATATTATTTTTATTATGTTTTATACAATTTAATTGAGACAGATTTAAAAATGCTAATTTATCATCAAAATAGGAGTATACGTTTGAAAAATTTGCTGACGGTAAGTTAAAGTCTCCAAACAGTAAGAAAATAGCATTTTGGTATTTTTTATACAATGATTCGATATAATCAAAATAAGAATTATATACATTTTCATTAGATTTATTTGGAATATACACAGAACCAATAATAATAGTGAGATTAGAAATATTTAAAAGTACAAATAATAATTCTATAGAATTATTTTCAATTACGATAAGCTTTGAATGAAGATTATTTCGAACAGCGATAAGTACACCACCGCCTCTAGATAACATACTTGTTTGAGTTGTTCTATCATATCTGTATATATCATAATTATGAAAACCCAATTCTGATGACATAACATTATTTGTTAGCCAGGTTTCAGTAAATATAAAAATATCATGTAATGCACACGGGAGTTGAGATTTCAAATATGACAATTTATTATTTAAACTACGGACGTTTTGATAGTAAAAATGTAAGCTGGTGGGTGGTGTATTTTTCAGTTTTTTGAAGTGTTAATGATTTTTGGAATACCTTTAACGTACTTGATAATTAAATTTTGTTCACCTTTTTCTCTGCGACTTTGTAACGTGTTTCTGAGATTTGCCATTTCATTTCGCTGTTTGGTTGTTTTGTCTGAAGAGAAGTGAATATTTGACCATTTCGTTGAATTTTTCAGGATTTTTTGTGCTCGTAAAATAGAGAAAACATCTGACTGCTCATTAAGACGAATTTTTATGGGTCGTGGTCTATCGTGGATAGTGGATTTTGTCTTTCCAAGACGAGAAAACTTAAAATCTCCGATAGTTTCGTTTAAGTCAGTAAAAATATATTTAATATTTTCTAAGTCATTATCATTTTCGTTTTCAGGTAGATTAAATAATAATAATAACAATAATAATAATAGTAATAATAATAAAAAATACCCCGTCGAGGTAGTGGTAATGGGCTTTTTCGCGAAAATAACAGAGTATTATTAATTCGCGTTAAAAGTTTCTGAACAAATTATTATTATATTATTAGTGTGTTACCGCGAGAACGTCGTTTCACGTTAAAATATTGTAAGTCATAATAATATATATTAGACACTATCAGTGGGCATGGAGGGGGGGGGGAGCGTACAGTGCACACAATAAATCATTTTTGAATCACAGACAAATTGTAATATCGGAATGGTAATATTATAATATGCTGTTAGGTTAGGCTTGACATAGACTTAAAAATCTATATTTTAATAATCAAAATGTAATTTGAATAAAAAATATTCTTGATTAAATAAAAGTTCTAAATTAATAAAAAATGTGATATTAATAAATGAACCTTAATTACCTACTAAAAATGTAATATTAATAAAAATAAAAATTAGTAAGAAATAGTCTTTATTAAATAAAAAGTCGAATTTAATAAAAAAATTGATAATAATTCTCAATTAATAAAAAAATATAATACTTATAAAAAGAGTAAATTAATAATAAATCTAAAATCAATTATGTATATTCATAAATAAATAAAAGCCCTAAAATATTAGAAAATATAATACTAATAAAAAATATTCTTAATTGGATGCCTAAATTAATGTAAAAAAAATGTATATATTAATATATTTACTTAAAATAATAAAAAATTTAATAGTAAAAATCCATAATTAATAAAAAAAATCTAAAATAAATACTAAAAGTTCTTAATTTAAAATCCTAATTGAATGTTTGCAGATACCAGGTTCGACATGCATATATTTTACACTTACACGATAATAAAAACAGATCTTCGTTAGAATATTTTTTAATATTATTTAATTATATTCTGTGACATTATTGAACGGCAGTCGGGTATACCGGCGTTTCTCAATCAGGGGTATCCGACTTATTATTTTGGGTGGCAAATGATTTAAAATCCAAATCAATAAAAAAATTTAAAAGTTCAGAAAGTAAAATAGAGTAATGAAAAAATAAAATCAGTAAATATGATAATATTACATAATACAAGTGTACATTACTACGAGTACAAAGTATATATATTTTTAATTAAAAATAATATTATGATATTATATGTATTTTATGTTTATGTATGTATTGTATTGATTATTGATAATAACCTATGCTAGTATATAAACAAAGGGGGTCGCTAAAAAACTGAAATTCAAAAAGGTCGCCACAGTAAAAGCGTTTAGAAAAACTGGGCTATACGATCGCTCTAGCCGGTGTAGCTGTATAGGAGGAATCACAATATGTTCCTTTGTGTATTGTTATTGGTTTATTTATTTCCACCGTCTCTACCTTTGTGCGATTATATTATGATCGTATCCAACATGATTATAATATTGTGTTGGTTATTTTTCATGTATTCATTTTTTTCGGTAGGTTTGGTTCTTTTGATTTCTATTCATATTTAGCGAACACCGCTGGCGTTCAAAGAGACAACGTCCAAACGAAGTTTCCTGTAGTCCCGGATGTATAATAGGTACTTACTCAGTGGAACAGCTTAATGCCAATAAACTATTCCAGACTGGTGGCCTTCGCTAGCGGAAGAAAGTCGTTTTGGATATAATTGGTTAGATGATTTTTTTTTTTATCGATTTATTTAACTCTGTCGGTTGTTGCCCGCACCTGCAGTGGTGTCGCTGGGTCTCCGTATTTAGATACAAGTGGTGGAAATTTGTTACGTCCTATTATCCAAATGTAAGTTGATGTGGAAGATTGCCGCTGGCATTTTTTATAGTACCTCGGACAGTGTCGAAGCCAGCAATGTTTAAATGCACTGAGTTTTCGACAGGCGATGGCTGTCCCAGGATCGTTCGAATCCAGCCTATCGACTGGACTGAATTAATCCTGTTCCACGTGGAATAAAATAATATCGAGGTCGCGGATCGATAATGCCCAAGCGCCCGTTCTCGGAATTGCGAGCGATCGGTCGGACGACGATCGTCTTCGGGCGCGGTTTTCCGTTTTTTGTTTTTTTCGTCCACCCCACGCGAATTGCATAAGTTCGCCCCGCGACTGATTTACCAGCGAAATAGGTGGCGGCGGCGAAAACAGGTAGCGGCGCTATTATGTGTATATATATATATATATAAACATTATATATACGTATGGGTGCCACCTCCATAGCCACTCACCACCCCGGCACCTCCATCGCCACTCGCCGCCACCACCATTATACATATTATTATTATTATTATTATTATTATACCTACGCGAGCAGAATTCGGATTAGTGCCAACGCGCAGTGGCGGCGGCGGAATTTGGCCGGCCTCCAGTTTGCCGGCAACGGGCCCAAAGCCAAGTTTTCGGTCTCTCGGCGAGGAGAACTTTCTTCTTTATACATGTATATAATATAAATATCTGCACGAACGATCGTTGTCCCTCCCCCCACCCCCTCCACACCGTCGTCTCCTGTATCCTGTATATCGTTGCTCGTGTATATATATATATAAGCGTACACCGGGCGTCTGGCCTATTGAAAAACTCACAGCCGAGATTGTCCTTCACTATCCGCCTCCACTCGTGTATATAGCCGGTATAATATTATTATCGTTATAGATTTAACTCGTCGTATATGCATCGTCCTCCTGCGCAGGTCCTTCCGCCACCACGGGGGTCGTTCGCCGACACCTCACCATTTTTTTTTTTTTTATAACTTTTTAAGTCCAAAATTTGATATTTAGCTTTTAGATGATTTTCGGGGAGTTTTTAATTATTTAATACGCTGTGGATCTGCATTTAAGTTAATTACGCATATTTTATTTTTTATGTTATATACCAACTAGTCGATTGAATTTATAAGTGATCTGTAAATAAGCACAATTTTTATCTTATCAACAATATACGTGGAACAACATTATAGTATGCACTTACACAACAAAATAGCAATCATATCTTGTTACACATAAACACAATATAAACACAGCAATACAAGTTGACTGCAGCACGGACAAAGCAAGAACACAGTATGATGGAGACAGCATAAAAATGGATAAGCACAATTTTTCATTCCTCAAATCTTCTTCGCTCGTCATCTTCCTGAATCGGACAAGCTTACATATTATTATTGCTGTACCGAGGGTGGCACACCAAACCAGCAACACAACCTCCTACCGACTTTAAGGAGTCTCCTCCCTATAAAGCCGATACGAGCGGCCTGCGTCGAACACGTCTGGGTTTTGCTGCTTCCTCCCGGCCACCCTACATACCGACTGATTGCAAGTCCAAATCGTCGAGTGTAACAATGTATTCGATAGAATTTTCATCGACGAAGTCAGAAATCGTTCGCCGTGGAAAAATAATTGCCGCATCCGATTTCACCTCTGGTTTCACAAACATATTGTCGTCGTAGCCGTAGACGCTAGGTCGTGTCTTTCCAACGCTCAATCGCGAAACGAATTTCAAAGATCTTTTCATTACCGCCTATTACTCTATTCCTCTTATCACTATAAGAGACGCTGCGGCGTGATGTCGACTTGGCAATAATCACTCGTTATTGCGAAAATAATATATATTCTTTAAGACGCGAGAGACTTGCGGGCATATCGCGGGTATAGACTTCTCTGTGAGAATCGTGCTCTTAGTTTTCCTGTACCGTCTAATCGAAGCTTTTCCGCGATCGGTGCAGCAGCGGAAGAGGAGGAGGAAGGTATCGTTATTATATTATTATTTTCATCATCATCATGCGATTACAACAGCAGTGAAAACTGCCAACCACATACTGCCGCTCAGCGACATCGGATCGCGCCGCCGTTTCCGTTGTTCGTAATAATAATAATAATAATATAAATAATATTACCGACGACGATAATGCATTCATTCCGATGTCGGTGGTCGGACCGGATGAGATGGCGCTCGGCCGTTAAAATCGAATCGTCGAAACGTGCCGTCCTATAAGGTATAGGCGTCTCACAATAATACAATACTAATCTCAAAACCTATGTACACAACCAATTAGGATCGCATACATTGTTTCCCGGTGGCAGTAAACGGCGTGTTAAAATGTCGCCCACAAGCACACCCACACGCACACACACACACACACACACACACACACACCCACGCGTATTGATTATAAACTCGCCATTGCGGGATCGTTACACCGCCGCCGCCGGTGCTGAAAGGAATGGTAGCAATTTCAATAAACCTCGCACTCGGAATACAAATTCGAGACATTTAGAAACTAATTTAAAACGAATACCGCGACGACGTGTTTAAACGAGGGCGTGGGGTGGGGGTGGTGGTGGTGATGGTCCTGTGCTATACTCGTATAATATATTATCGCTCGCCGGGACATCGGTGGACAAATGACGGACGGCATTTCAGTCGATGCGACACATAATATATTACTGCAACGTTCCTGCACAAATCAAAGCGCAGAGTTTGACCGAGTGAAAACATCGCTATACACAGCGATGATGATTTTAAATATACGACAGTATAAACACCGCCGCCGTGGAAATAAAAAAACGATTTGTACAAAATACCAACCCGCACTTCAATACCATCAACAACAAAAAAAATGCACGTACAAATTTTTTGTTTAAAAAAAAAAACGTAAATCGTAGTATCGAGATATAATATTAATATTCTGTAAACCAGGGCTTCGCACCCGAATTAACCGGAACCCCTAACACCCCTGAAAACCCTTGAAAAATCAAACCCCCGAAACCCATGTAACCCGAATGATTCTAAGCAGTTCGCCAAGCACCCGAATTCACTAAAAACCCGAATAAAATATTCTGGTCAACCCGAAACACGAATAATTTTGGTTTTTTACAATCTTCATTAATTGATACATCAATTCGTGTGTATTTCTTGTGGTTAGTCCGATTTTGTAGTTCATTGCCAATTACCGGTAATTACCGGTATACCGAAAATACCGCCAGCCCTACTT